GGCAAAGAAACTGGAAAGGAAGCTAAAGCAGCCAGCAGAAAGCATTGCCTGGAAGTAAGAAGTCACATTTCATTGTTAGGATGCAAAAGATGTGCAGTCACCATCCTGTTGTTAATTTTGTGAACCTGGACAAACTTTCTACATCTTTTTTAGAAGGAGTACAGTGTCTATTTTTTCAGTTATAAGAATCTCTAGAAGGAGGGAATGGAAATGAGGGAGACTCACTTCATTCTTATCATCCTCATTCACTCAGGAGTAGTTATCCTACATCCTCATGGTACAAATGCTGCTGGGATTATAAAAGACACAGAATTTATACCACAGATCTAAAGAAGATGAAGACAAATAACTGTATTACATATAAAAATTGTTAAGGGAACAGGAGGGGAGAGTTATAAAAGTTGAGAAGAGAACTACCCTAGATAAGAGAATTTGAAAAAAAGAGAATAAGTATTTAATCTGAATCAGAATGAATGGGAGACTCTGGATATGTGGATACATTAGATAAGAAAACTTTGATATGGGGAGGTCTATGTTGTATATGGGGATTACTATTCTAGAGAGAAAAGAGATAAAGAGTGGAGGAGTACACATGAAGTGTACTTGGCGGCGCCCATACTCTGTGAGTAGGGTGCTGGCCACATACACCAAGGCTGGCAGGTTCAAACCCAGTCCAGGCCAGCTATAAACAACAATGACAACTGCAACAACAACAACAAAATAGCCGGGCATTATGGTGGATGCCTGTCATCCCAGCTACTTGGGAGGCTGAGGCAAGAGAATTGCTTATGACCAAGAGTTTGAGGTTGCTATGAGCTGTGATGCCACAGCACTCTGCCCAGGGTGACATGGTGACACTGTGTCTCAAAAAAAAAAAAAAGAGAAGCATACTAAATAAGACTGAAATGAAGACACAGTCTGTGAAATGAAGTGTAGAGGGAGAGGGAGGAAAAAACAGACACAAAGAGGTAGAAGGGATAAAACTTGCCAAGCAAGGTACAGGGTGGTAACCAGTCAAAGATAATTTTGAGGTGTCTAGACTGGAAGTCTAGGGGCTATTAACCAGTTTAGGAGGTAAAAAGAAAAAAAAGCAGTTGGGAAAGAGGAATGCAAAATTGAGCTTTAACAGGGCAAAGCAAGCCTATGTTGCTGGCATGTCTATGAACCTGAGTTTGTGCAAACTGGACAACCAAACCCTTAGCAAATGGGATTTGAAACAGCATGCTAAGATTTAGGAGTCAGAGTGGCTAATATATAACTTAGGCAATGATGTTCTCTCTCTTGTAGCATTCTCTCCTGTGCTTAAATTCTTAAATATACATGCCTTTTAGTGATCACATTTACTTGCTTTTTGCCTGGAATTGTTCTCTAATCTTCCAAAAAATAAAGGACAGAGGACAAGTTATCATGTCTTTGTAAGTATACCAAGAGGTCATGATATACTAAATAAATATCAGAAGACAAATAAGTACTTATTTAATAGTTATTGGAAGATAAAATCTAATTGCATTCTTTAAGTCATTGCAGCAGGCTCTTACCTAAATGTTAGAAAGATGACTAATAGCTTCTGCCAGGGTTTCTCATCCTTGGCATTCTTGACACTCTGAGCCTGCTAATCTTTGGTGTGAGGGAGCCCTTGTGTACTGTAAGATGTTTACACCATCCCTGATCTCTACTCCCCCTCTCCAAAGTTGTGGCAATACTCATGTCTCTAGACATTGCAAAATAATGTCTTCTGGAGGTAATGTGATCCACTGTCCCAGATTAAATGGGGCTGGGGGAATTCCTGGGGTGTGAGTCTTTCATTTTCAAAACGGAGACCATTCCAGGAAAACTAGGATGAGATTTGTCACCCCACCTAGAGGACAAAAATCACTCTGCCTTGAGAACCACTGGCCTGTGGGAATAGAAAATCATCTATACAGTGAATTCCAAAGATGGTAAGTGCTAAGATAGAGGCACGCTTTGAATAATCTTTGAACCCAATGAGGAAAACACTCATTTTGAGTGAGGAGGAAGCTACTATAGAAAGTTTTTGGAAAAAATTTTTACTTGACACATAAATATTGTACATATTTACGAGACACAAAGCGATGTTATGCTACATATATACAACATAAATGAACTATACTGAGTAATAAGCATATCCATCACCTCAAATGTCTATCATTTCTTTGTGTTGCAAACATTCTTAAGAAAAATGCATCTCAGGGAGAGCTTAAAATTTAGCAGGGTTTATGTTCAAGAGTTTATTATACATTTGGGGGGTACAAGGAGAGTTTTGTGACATGGACATATTTTATCGTGGTGAAGTCTGGGCTTTCACTTACTCATCGCCTGAGGAATTAGTATACATGGTACCAATAAGTAACTTTATCCCTCACCTTCCTCCCACTCTCCCCTTTTAGAGTCTGCAATGTAGATAAGAATGAAATAATGTCCTTGGAGCAGGTTTAAGCAAGTGAACGCAGAATAATCCAGTCGGCAGAAACTGCAAGTGAATGAGCATGAAGACATTAGATAAGTCCCGGGTGAGCCAGTTAGTGTGATGAACGGGGCACAACCCAAAGTCAGGATGAAAACCCCAAATAAGGTTAGAAATATTGGATAGGGTCAAGTCTTAGAGGGCTTTGAGTCTTGAGTAGTGATTTTAAAACCCCTATAATAATGTAATATGCAAAGAGGAATCTTTCGGTGCTCTTCACTGATATTAATTCCCTTCATCTGTATAACAGCCATACATATGGGCAGCATTATTACTGCAGTCTTACTGATGAGGAAACTAAATGGCACACAGAGATTAGTTTCCTTGCTTGAGGCCACAAAATTGGCCAACTGAGGAGTCAGATTTAAGACCAGTCTGTCTGACTCCTGGATTCCATGCTTTTAATTGCTGTAGTCTCCTGTCTCCCCAACTGACTTAGGAATTCATCTAAAATAGCAGAGTGATGTGAGCAGACATGGATTTTAAGAGATGGCTTAGATGGCTCTGCAAGTCAAAATCCCTGGCAACAGGAAACTAGATGGGATATATACTTTATTCACTTCGTCCCTCATTGCAATTCCCTAACGCCCTTACTGCACCCATGCAATTCATGGTGAAAGCTGGACCATGGTGAATTTGCAATTTAAATCTAGAAGTGATGCTCACCGCCACCAGATCAATAATCTTAAATGCTATGGTAGCGCTTAGTGAGGCTAAAGTGCTGAGAAAAGAGGCAGCCACTTTATCATCAAATGTTGAAAGCTGAAAACACAGAGGGAAAGGACAAATTTAAAGGCCATGGAATTAATGGAATAAGACCAGATGTTGTAAAATCTAGCAATAATTCAGGGTTTCATACCTGATAATAATTTCCAAAAAAAAAAAAAAAAGGCAGGAGAGGTCCCATTGCTTCCCTATGCTTTTAAGATCCAGACAATGCTTAAGAGATAAAGATGCAGATCTGCTATGATTCTCAGAGGGAGATCCAGATATCACATCTGCCTTTTTTTTAACATGGATGTTCTAATAAAATGGTCTCTTTGATACTCCTATCTCTTCGATCTAATCTCTTCCACCGAAGCTCTGTCCCTCGGCTCATTCTTGATAATTTATTAATAAGCCACCACATAAAAAATGTCCCTTAATAAGACACTCAGGCATTGTGGACTGCTTAATGTAGTTAATTGAAGTGGGGCAACTGAGATTCATGGAGATGGCCATATTAGATTAGGGGAGAGATTAGCATCACTCTTGGTCTTCTCGGAAGAATGCAGCAGAATATGAAGTGCTAAAATCAGACAGCAGTCGACAAACACCTCTCCTGAGTCAACATGAAATAATATGGACAGAGTCTGCTGGAAACCAAAATCAAAATGCCCTTAGATGGCATCTGGAAATAGTTCCCACACCCTTCTCTCTGTCTCCATTCATTTCCCCACCACCCTCACCTTTTGGTGCAGGTTCAGGAGCTGGAGTATGACTGGCTAATGTATTGGAAAGAAACATTTTTAAAACATCTTTATTTCCTCCATGGGAAAAAAACACAAACAAGCAAGCAAACTGATACACACATGTGTACCTGCACATATGCACATACACACACACACACAACCCGACACACGGACATGCAAGAGCTCATTTCACTGCTGAAGAGCAGAACAACCTTAACTGCTATTTTCTGGTCAATCAAGCACTCAGAAAAGGAGAACTGATTTTCCTTTTCAAACAGAAAACATGATCAGTGGTTCTTACTTAGACAAAATAGAAATAGTCTTCTCTTTACAGCATATGTTTGAACATGTTTCAGAGCCATGGAAATTATCTGAGTATTTTCCATACATCGTCTCCATACTTGGCCAACCACCTTGTTCTCTGTCTAGTCTTTCTACTTCTGGCATTCCTAGTAGCACAAGGGCAAAGCAGTGGTTCCAGGCAAGTGCTTATCTGTTCTCCTCTTGGCTCCAGTTCTAACGGCAATTTAATAGTATAATAAGTAAAATCATCTGACCTATTCCACCATCTAGGCAAATAACACTTCTTGCTAAAAGCCCAACCAAGCAACAAAACAGAGTTTGATAAAGCTGAGCCATTTTTTGAGGATTCTGTACTCAATCTAATTTGCATAGCGGGTATTTGGCAACTACATTCTTCTTTTTCCTCGTGTTCAAGAATGTTGCCAAACTGGCAGCTTTGCAATAGCTCAGGGAAAGATTACATCCTTATACTCTGGTTTCCCCTTTTTCTCTATGTAATAAACTCAAATGTTAAACTAATAATTCTCCACTAAGAAAAAAATATATAAATGTCAATTCAAATAATTGGCTAATGGCTGAGTCAATCAGCTGGGCTCATATGTTCCTGTGCTGCAGTATAATTGATAGGAGAAAAAATAGCAAAGACTAAAGAAGGAGAGATAAACTATACTGCTTACGAAACTGCCAGCCAGGGGCAGAGGGAGGCCCATTGCACCCCGGGGGCTGTCTCCTGTGGGCACCATCTCACCATCCCCACTCACCTTCTCTCACCACAGGCTCTTCTTTTTCAGTCCTTACTCGGGATCCTCTGCATTTGGACGTGATATGGATATGATCCTTTTGATCATTAGTCTGGGATTCAGAAATCTCTTCAGGTTTTGTTTCTGTGTTAAGGAGAACAAAAGAGGTGTCTTTGTTTTTTTTCAGATAAAAAGAAAAATTTTCATTGGTAAGTGGGGTCTTAAGAGTTCAGGTGTGTCCCTTGTATGCCCTTCCCCCACAATTGTGATATAAATACAGTAGAATACATATAAGATGTTCTGAGTTTAAGAAGTAATGACATGAAATCCCATATGCCTTCCACCAAATTTACAGTATAAAACTATTGTTCTACAGAGCAGCAGCCACATGTGACTACTGAACACTTAAAATGCGACTAGTTCCAGATGAAATGGATTGTAGGTATAACATACGCACCTGATTTTGAAAAATGTAAACTAGCTAATGTTTTTATATTCATTGAATGTCGAAATAATATTTTTGATATATAGCTGTAGAATATTACATATATACCCTGCATTCGTGGCTCATGTTATATTCTTATTGGAAGGAGAAGATTAGTCAGTGACAAGACTTTTACTAATTCTTTTTAAATTTTTTGTTCTAAAATAATTATTGATTCACAGGAAGCTACCAAGAAATAGCACTTTCTCCCAGCCTCTTCTGTTGTGAATAATCTGTGTAAGAATAGCATGTTATCAAAACATTGAAATTGAGATCAGTACAATTCACAGAACTCAAGCAGGTGTGTACTTTTGATTAAAAACTTCTTATCTTCAGCACACCTCTAGTGGACAAGATACTTCATCTCCCATTCATTTACTCAAATATGTAATAATCAAAAATATGTTTACATTCCAGACACTTATATCACAATTTTCTGAAGAAAAATCAATTTTGTTATTGAGCTTTGAGCTGAATTACATGTTTTTTTTCATGGAATATGGTTTTTTTCTTGAAAGAATGATTGAGAGATAAATTGTAGCTATTCAAACTTCATTATCTGGCCAATATTTTTTTTAAATTAATGAGTGACCTTTTAAAAAAGAAACAAGCTATGGTATGTGTTGTCCTTGCCAAAATTCAAGCTTTCATAGGAAACTTAGAAATTTGGAAAACTTGTGTCAACTACCATGAACGTCACATAATTTTGATTCTTAAAGATTTGCATTGATGTTAACTAACTCTATTTCTTGAATTGTAGAATGAAATATGTCAACATTTAAATGATCTATATAATTCAATGAAGCAATATTTTCCAAATGGTAGAAATATATTATTTCAAAATCATGCATCAGTAAAAGCTCCACTCAAAATATAAGACTAGAGGATTTTCATGTAAGTAAGTAAACAATGGACATTGAGATGGACCTATAGGTAAGGCTTTTTGTCAAATCCGGGTGCAATATCAAACCAGAACATCCACAATTATTACCTGAAAATACTATTAAAATACCCTTTGCTTTTCTACTATATATTTGCATGAGGCTAGAGTTTCTTCATATACTTTATTCAAAAAAATACATTTGCCAGGCATGGTGACTTAATCCTAGCACTCTGGGAGGCCTAGGCAGGTAGATTGCTTGAGCTCAGGAGTTCAAGACCAGCCTGCATAAGAAGGAAACCCTATTACTACTAAAAATAGAAAAACCAGCCAGGCATAGTGGTGTAGTAGTCCTGCAGTCCTAGTTACTTCGGAGGCTGAGGCAAGAGGTTTGCTCAAGCCTTAGGCTCAAGCCTAAGAATTTGAAGTTGCTGTGAGCTAGGACTCCATGGCACTCTACCCAGGGCAACAGAGTGAGACTCTGTCTCAAAAACAAAGCAAATAAACAAATAAACAAAAATATATGTAACAGGTTGAATATAGAAGTTGCTAAGAGAACTGTCTGAGTTTTATTAAAATGCCACCCTCTTCACTATATATTTTTGAAAACACGTTTCTAAATAAAAATGCCATATTTACATTAATATATACATTATTGCTATTTTTAAATAAATTAATAAGTACATTGAAAAATTTTGTTTAAACTTCTAACTTGAAGTGGGTCTCTAGGGGAGCATCCCTTCCAGAAAGCCATCACAGTGGGACCCTCCTCCTCCCTCTTCCTCTTCTTTGTTCTGACTCTCTCTTTGCCTCTTGTCATTTTGCCTCTTTTTCCATTCACTCTTGCTTATAAATTTGGCTCTGTAGCACATCCTAGTAACACAAGTGTTTCTTCCGTTCATGTGATGGTCTGACCCAGGGAAGGGGTATGAATGGGTAGAGGAAGGAATTTCCCAATGCTTTATCTGCCTCCCTTTCTCCTGCACAGGAAGGATGGAGTAGAAAGGAAGAAAGAAGCCACATTTACAAAACTTCTTTTCTTTAGTGAATCCATGTCTCCAGACCCAAAGAAAATATTGTATTTTGCGTCTGGGGAAATGTTTAATATACTTAACTTCTATGCTTTAGAGAAAACAACACAAAGTACCCTTTCCCTCCTTTAAAGAGAAGAGGCTATTTTCCCTTGATTCTTCAATTCACCTTTTGGAGGGTTACCTGGCAGTGAAGCAGAGTGTTTCATACAATGGGATTTGGAACCAAACTGTCTGGCTTCCATGTGGTTGTGAGACCTTGAACAAGTGATTCAACTTTTTTGTGTCTTATTCTCCACATCCATAATGAAGGCACAATATTGAGTATTCACTTCATTGGATTGTTGTGTATATTAAATAATTTATCTAGAGTATTTAGAGCCTGGTCCAGAGTGAGTATTCCGTGAATATGAGTTTTTATTAGTACTGCAATTAGAACTTAAGATTCAGCAATCCTTTACTCTACTGCATGAATTGAACAATTTGGTGTCCTGTAGTTTTATATATTGTAGAATGCTTATAAGATTTGGCCTTGGGGAAAGAAAAAGAATCATTAAGATATCACAAATGGTGACAACATTTTTTTTTCAGAAATTTTCATTCCAAAAAAACAAAAATCATGTACTTCTATGGCTCTTGTTTTTCTTAAACCAACAGCACAGCAGACAGCTCAGAGCCAGCCACGAGACCGCGGAGCTCACAGAAACAGCCAGGATAACGGTGGACTTCTCCCTTCTAGTCACAGGCAAGACAGCAAATGGCCTGGATCGAGCTGTAAAATTGGCTCCTGTTTAAAAAATGTTACAGTAACATATTAATAATGTGCTAGTATAATACAAAATATTATGGGAAAGATATGCTTAAGACAGTACATGGCACATAGCAGGTGTTTGACATGTATTTACTGAATTTAATGATCAAATAAAGGAATCGGTAATAAGTCTGAAGAACTGCAAGATTCCAATAACAACACATAACAGGTCTTCCCATTCTGTCCATTAAAGATAGGGTATTCTTCAAGTTCGCTCCTTTAGTTCTTACCAATGCACAATTTCAGCTGCATCAACTCTTAGCTTTCACTAACTAAAACAAAAATGTTCTTGGTTTTAGATGTGCGAAGCTATTCTCCCTGACACATGTATCTACTCAAGATATGCTAAATAACACAAAAAACAAAGGCAACAGGACTGCTGCTATAGCACCAATAATTTCTAATTTCCAGGGGAACTTTGGTATCCAGAAAACTAGAAATAGAGTCATGGCAGATGGAACTACAGTGGCTATGGACGATGGGCTAAAGTGGGGTTGTCTTGTTGAGAGGGCGCATCTAAGGATTCCTCTGGAACCTCTCCATCTTTTATAGATGGACAATTTTAGTTTTTGCTCCATATTATTTATGAAACAAAGCATAAAATAATTTTAAAAAGAAACTTACCTATTCATACAAAGCCCCCCACACAAATGCTGATAGTAGCTCTATTCATAGTTACTAAAACACGGGAACAATGCAAATTGTTCTTCAAGAGAAGAATGAATAAAAGAATACATTAGAATACTACTCAGCCAAAAAAAAAAATGAAAAAGAGAGAGAAGAAACAAACTATTGACAATCTGTAACAACTGGGATGGACGTCAAAGGTATTATGTTGAATAACAGAAGCCTATACCTAAATAGGATCCTGTTTATATGACACATTCCAGAAAAGAAAAAAAAAAACACAAAGATAAAGAACAGATAAATAACTGCCAGGGGTTAAGGGTGAGAAAGGAGAGTATGTAAGGACAGATTTTTGGAGTATTGGAAATGGTCTGCATCCTGATTATTTGGTAGTTACATGAACCTATACATGTATTTAAATCAATAAAACTATCTACAGAAAATCAATTTTATCCTATATTAATTTAAAGATAAAAATTTTTACATCTTGTCTATAATTTAAATGGAGATTAATATATCCATTATCTTAATTGTGTGATTTCATGGGAGTAGATATTCATCACAATTTGTCAAATGGTGTGCTTTAAATACATGCAGTTTGTTTTGTGTCCATTGTAACTCAACACACACAAATAAATGTTTTAAAGCCCCTTACATCTGAACACTAGTGATAGCCAGCGATTTTAAAGTAGCTCATTCAAAGCAAGTGAACTCCAAACTTTTGCTTTCATCTGACTAATTAAGGCAAAAGTAAAATTTTTATTTTCTGCCCTCAAAGAAATACTTTTTTGTTTGTTTTGTTTTTTGCTGAACTTTCCTTGGGTGGAACAATCAACTTGACTGGACGTCACAGTCAGACTTTCAATCTTTTGACTTCTGGCTGACTCTGTCTCTGGGCTACCACAATAAAAATAGTTGAAATGGTTCTTCTCTGTGTACATCTTATACCTGCACCACATTTGACTTGTTATCGATTGATTGTTTTTTATAGGCATCTGATTAAGCTCAATCAAACCCAGAGATGGGGGAGTGGATTTTACTGAGGATTCACAGAAGTAAAGCCAAAATTCCTTATTTTTTTAATTCATCTTCCAGTGATTGCTCAGTGATTGCTTACTTGGTTAAATGTGCCTATTTTTAAGATACTTACAAGCTAGTAAACAAAATCTACATGTTTATAAGACAAATCAGAACTTGACACATGCCACCAAAATAATGCAAATCAATTGCTTTGGAAGGTTATTTTCTATTGATGTAATCAGGGAAAGCATCCCGGAGGAGGGAGTATCTCTGGGGGGTTCAGACCTGAGAAAATAAGTGAATAAAGACAGAAAGGAGAAAAAAAGCAATTGATGTTTAGGAAATTCATGCTTAGAAATACTGGGAATTAATGCAGGAAAGCATTTGAGAAAAATTGTGGTGGACATTAAATGTCAAGCGATAGGGCCTTAACAACATTCTGAAAGCATGAGGTGTCATAGAAAGGAAGACTCTCATCAAAAAAGTTATAGGAGGCACCTGTGATATAGAAGATGAGTCCATCAAAGTATCCAAACACAAACAATGGCAGAGAGGCTAACGTCAGGGAGACCAGATTAGAAAGCTAGAGTGGTAAGCTAAATCCAGGGGTGGAGGCTGCTGGCTTTCAAATATTTCAGCAGCAGAGTTTTTTTTTTAATGCAATCTTAAAATAATCTCAACATACTCACTTATTCATAACAAAATATTTATTTGTGCCTATGATGTCCCAGGCATTTCTATACCCTGAGAATATAATGTGAAACTAAGCAGAATCCTTGTCCCTTGTAGAACGTAGGAGGACTCAGCACAGAGGCAGCAGAAAAACAAGTAAATATAGAGATTCTATAATGCCAGGGAGTGATAAGTGCATGAAGAAAACTAGAGTGGGGGTATAAAACAGAGTAACTGAGGTGGGGTAGGATTGGGGATGATGAGGACCGAGTGATCCAGAAGAAGCCTCTTTGAGCAGATGACATTTGAGAAGAAACCTGAATATGTTGATAATGAGCCCTGTGAATGTCTAGAGTGAGAGTATCCAGGCAAGGAAATAGCGACTTCCAGTAGGATTTCTCTGGTTAAGTCTCTGTGTGTGTGTTAGGGGGTAGGGGTGTCAGGTCATAATATCTGGAAACCTTAATCTCTTCTCAACCCAGCTGGCCCTGAGGGCCTCCCACAGCCCAAAGAAATGGTCAGAAAAGACGCAGCCCCATGGAAATGATGGTGAAAGTGGAAAGGTTGGGGAGGAGTCATTACTACAAACCCACAGAAACCTTATCTTTCCTCAGTGTCTCAGGAAGCTCAGAAGTGATAAATGAGCCAGATTCACTCTTTAAGACTTATGAGGATTCCACACTCACTAGTTCTAGCTACTCAACTTCTCCATTAGTCATTTTTTCTTATGATAGTAATAATAATTTGTTCCTCTCTTTAAGATACTGAGGAGATAAGGAAAAATAGTGGGAAAAAATGCAAATTTTCTGCTTGATTCATGAATGAATGAAAGAACAACACGAATCAATACTGAATAAACCTATTATCTTGGTACCTGTTATAAATAAGGTATTCCATTGATTGGTCTAACTGTGTAAAGAAAGGCTGTCTTCTCAGACATTCCTGAACTTGAAATAGTTGTTATACGTAGAAACCTGAAGTGACTCTCAGGCTGTGCACCACTCAACATCATGCTGTCAATGAAGAGTCATAGAATTATAGGTCTTAAATGTTTAATTGTCCTTTTAATGTCCATCGGTTGTCTTCTAATTTAAGTTTTTGTAAATATCATTCTGAAAGACCCTCACCTGATAGACATGGTATTGAAAATTGTGAAGACTGATTTAAGGATAAACCTTCAAGATGATTATTCAGTGAGTCTCATTATGAGTTAAAAGTAGAAACTAAAATAAAGTAATAGTCTACTAGATGTGAACGCCAAGGTCAGCTTGAAATCACAAGTATTACTGAGAAGCGTTACTGAGAAGTTTCTATCTACAAAACCCAGTTACATTTGGTTTTACAACTCATTTCTTAAAATAACCTCAATAATGTACTGTGTTATTACAAGTTAACCACCAAGAAAATTAAAGAACAATGGTCTTTTAAGTGTCAGACAAATAAGACACAAGACCCACTCCTGCCTGCCGTTCACTTTCAAACATACCTATTCAAAAACTCAAGCATAAGTCAAAATCCCTGTAAATCCCTGATCAGTAACATTGAGCTTATTTTTCCACAAACTGGTATTTACATTAGGACATTTTTATGAGTATTAAAGGATACCTACCCTATAAAATTAATACTTAACACTATATCCTGGCCTCAGAAGTTAGCCATGTGTTAAGAAAAATGATACAAAACTTAAGGAGAAAAAATTATTGCAGATCTTATCAATGTCATACTGGAACTTTTCAAACAGACCCAGCCAAGGTTTACCAATTCCTCTAAAACATACATTTGTTTGGCCTAGTATTTATTACTAATTTGGACCCAGATTTATTAATCTGTAAAAGATTAATAAACTGCAAATGACTTTTATCCAGTAAAGATGCAAATGATATTGGTAGACCATCAAAGGTGATGGTTTTAATGCCCTGTATCCAATTTAGCAAACCCATTTCAGCATTTCTTTCCT